TTGGGATCCCCCCGCCCCAAAACTCCCACAGACCCCAGCCTCAGGCGGCCGCTCGCCTGCCCTCTGTCTCCACAGATCAGTTTTGCCTTTTGTAGAATTTCATTTAAATAAAATTCTACAGCATGTACAATCTCGTGTCTGGCTTCTTTTGGTCAACATCAGGTTTTTTTTAAATTCGCACATGTCGCTGCAGAAATCGGCAGTGTGCTCCTTTTTCCGGCAAATGTTACACATTCATTGAATATCCCAAAATCCGTGCGTCCATTCGCTGGTGGGTGAACATTTGGATTCTTCCCGGTTTGGCTCTGCTGTGAATAACGCCACCGTGCGCATGCGTACACACGTCTCTCTCTGTGTGGTCACGCGCACACACGTCTCTGTGTGGTCATGCATCTTCATTTCTCCCTGGTAGACAGCGAAGAGCGGATTGGCCACATAGAAAACGTCTGTTGAACTTGAAACATCGAAATGTTCTCCAAAGTGGCTGGACAACGTGCTTTCCCACCACCGATGCGTGAGCGTGCCAATGTCCCACCGTCTTGTCTGCATTTGGTATCGCCAGTGCTTCCAGTTTTGGCTGTAGTAAGTGTGTCGTGGTATCGCATTGTGGTTTCAACTGACACTGATGACTGATTGTGCTGAATATTTTTTCATATCCTCTTTAGCCATTTGTGTACCTCCTATTGTCAAGTGTCCAATCGGGTCTTTTCCCATTTTTGAACTGGATTGTTTTCTTATTACTGATTATAAGAATGTACATACGCACAATAGATACATGTATACATTGTGTTATATTACATTCAGGATATGCTGGATACAACCCTTTGTCAGGTGTATACATACTGCTATTTTTCTCCCGGTCCATGGCTTGCATTTTTATTTTCTTTATGATATCTTTCAAAGAGCAGAAGTTTTCAATTTTGATGAAATCCAATTTATGAATTTTATTCTTTTATGATTCATGCTTTTTACATCCTAATAAGGCTTCGCAGACTCTGAGATGGCAAAGAGTGTCTCTCTTGGAAGTTCTAGCTTTTACGTTAGGTCCACCACACGTTCTGAGTTCATTTTTGTGCGTGATGTGCGGTAAAGGTTGCGGTTCATACCCTTCCCACATCGGCATGAAGTTCTCCAGCACCAATTGTTAAAATTATTAACCGTTCTGCTGCCGAATTATCTGGCCCCTTTGCTGAGAATCCACACGGGGGCACACTATGACGCCCCGACTTTTCTGTTTATATGAAAACGCAGGGGGCCTAGAGGAGCCAGGATAATCTTGAAAAGGACAGAATTAGAGGGTGGGGCACGATCGTAATGAAAACAGTGCAGCGTGGACACAAAAATGAACAAATCAAGCGAGGGAACATAACAGAGTCAGAAACAGACTGATACATACGTAGTCACCTGATTTATAATAAGCGTGGCCATGATTCGCTGGGCCATGAATGAAGGTGTGGGGAATACGTGAGGCCTTACCCCTCGCTCACGCCATCCACAGAATTAACGCGAATGGACCACAGAGCTACATGCAGACAGCCAAAGCGGTCAAGCTTCCAGAAGAAGCCACAGGAGGCTGGGTTAGCGATGATTACTTGAATGGAGTACAGAACGTTCTAACCATAAAAGACAGGTAAATTCATTTTCATTCGTATTGAGAAATTTCATGTGGCCCAAAGACATTATTACCAAGAGCTTAGAAAGGCAGAGCACGGCCCGGTAGAAATTCTTACCATTAAGTGCATCCAACAAAAGACGACTCTCCAGAGTTCTCACAAATCGATAAGAAAAACCAAACAATCCCATTTTTAAAAGGCCAAGGATGTGCAGAGGTCCCGCCCCAAAGGGGTTATTTAAGTGGCCGAGAGCCTGTCTCACGGTGCTCAGCATCGTTGCCATGTGGGGCAGTGCCGACGGGCACCAGAGCGAGGTACCGCAACGTGGCCGAGGCCCAGCACAGCACACCTGGGCGCTCGCCCGCTGCGGGCCAGCGGGCAGATCGACCACCGCTTTGCAGGAACAGTTGGCAGTCTCATATCCTGTGTCCCCGACACCGCACTCCTGCATGCGTCCCTAACGGAAAGGCACGCATCGGCACCAGAGGACACGGACGAGACTGTTCGCAGCAGCAAATCGGCTGACAAATGGAGAGATACATTATGGTGCGCTCCTGTCATGGAACATTGCAGGACGAGGCAGCACGCGAACCGCGGCGACAGGCAGTCACGTGAATTAATGTCGCACACTCGATTTTGGACAAAAGAAGCCAGACGTGAAAGAGAACATGCCACACGGTCCTATTTACATAAGGGTCAAAAAACAGGCTACGTTGATGTACGAGTGAGTCAAGTGGCTGCCTTTTGGGGGTATGGGGGGAACACTAGGAGTCTGGAGGGGGTGGGGACGGGAGCTTCTGTGGTTTGGGTCAAGTTCCAGAGCCAGTGCACGGGGCTGAGCCCTCTTTCTCTGTGTGAGGCTCCGTCCCCGAGCTCCACCCCTGGATGCCAGCGACGAACACCTCCTCCTCCGGCTGTGACAACCCAGAACGTCTCCAGACATTGCCAGTGGCCCCGGGGACAGGGACCAGGATCCCCCCCGTTGAAGATGACTGTTTTTACTGCTGTGTGTGTGCTCACTTTATGAAAACTGATGGATCTGTGCACACGCGATACAGCAACCTTTCTGCACGCGCATTATTTAAAGGGTTTTTAAATCCGAGTCGTCAACGAGTAACTAAAAGCAGCAAACATCTTAGCGTGAACATACAAGATAGTTGTAGTATAGTGTCATGTCGTCTCTGCAGATAAGGGGACGAAGATCCGGGCTTGCTCAGGGTTCTGCGGCTGGTAGGACCCAGGGGCGAACCCCCGCCCCCGCCCCTCCCTCTGTCGCACGTAGACTTGCTCCCAAACACACCCCACGTCAGAGCAAAGGCTGATCCCACACAGGGACCGGTCTGGACCTCTGAACCCCAAACGGGGTTGCTAGACGCTGCACCCAAGCACCCCGCAAAAAGACTTCTGAAAACCAATATCTCATGCAAACAGGATATCAACTTTTGTCAGAAAGATCAAAAAAAGGCTTGAGGTTTTTCTTAGCAGCCTCGGCCCCTCCTGCGTCTCCCTCCCTCGTTAGCTCCTCATCTCAGAGCGCAGGCAGGAAGAGATGGCGGCCGGGGAGACGCAGGTCTACGCGAAGGTCAACAACAAGCTCAAGGGCCGCAGGGCCGCCTCGCTCCTGGACCCCCTGCTGGGGATGGGCTTCCCCGTGCACACCGCGTGAGTACCGCCCGCCGGGCGCCTGCCCAGCCCCGGGTCTGACCTTGCTGGGGTCCCGGCCCCAGAACTGCCCGCTGCAGGAGCTCTCACTTCCTGCCGAAGCAGTGCGCCTTGCAGGGACAGGCGCGGCCTGGAAATAAGCCCGTCTTCTGCTTTTCATAAGCGGCAGGATCTTTGCCTTTTAAAGACAAACTGCCTGCTGGCTGATGGGGGGGACCCTGAAATCTCGGAGCATAGGAAGCCATGTGTTACTGTGGGGCCCCCACGTCTCAGGGTTTGGAAGCGTTGGGGCCTGGTTGAACCCTCTCTGTAGGCAGCTCGGTGACTCTGAGATGACATTTCAACTGCCAATTTGAAAGGCCCCGCAGCCCAGGGAGTGTCCGGGGCTGGGACCTGCTGGGATGGGGGTGAACCATGTGCCCTTAGGGAAAAATCTCTTGACCGTCTGATAATGAAACAGAACAGTTGGGGGACTACGGAAACAGAGTCGGCGAGATTCTCTTTACCCAAGGGGCAGGGCCCCACACAGATCACTTTAACCTTGGGACCTGCCCCGCTCGAGCGAGTTGGTATCGAGTGTGATACCAACGCCGGGTTACAGGGTCCACAGAAACGGTTCCTCACACCGGGTCCTCACCTTACGATCATGATCGATCGGGGACCTGTGAAACAGGCATCGGGAGTGGAGTGAGCGGAGGGCCTGCCGTGTGCCGACTCCGTGCTGGGTGCCCGCTGCGGGGTGCAGACAGGGATGCTGAGGCTGAGGAGGGCAGGGCCGAGCCCCGCTGTCCAACGCACCTCTAAATCCCATGCTTCACCTCACTGCTGACGCCATCAGGTGTTCGCACACTCAGAATCCCCTCTAATTTAAGCACGCTTTAAAGGCCCCATTAGGCCGGGCGCCCCAGGGACGGCTCCACGCCGAGGCCGCCCATTGAGTCCTGGCAGGCGGCACCCAGTCCCGCCTTGCCTCCAGCCGCGTGGGCTGAGTTCCTGAGCGGACTCCCTCAGCCACGTCCCATGCTGCTCAGTGCGGTCCCGTCCGGTTCAGTTCAATTCGATGGACACCCATCCCGTCACGGTGACAGTAAGGGGCAGAGACTCGCGGTCTGGTAGGGAGGCAAACGGACATGGTGACCGCATGTGCGACGGGGAAAGGCAGGGGGGCCACATGTCCCCTCCCCAGTCAGCGGTCTGGGGACGGTGTCCTAGAGGAGGAACGCTCGAGCTGAGCTGGAAGACCCAAAGGCACCTTGCCACAGAGCCCGAGCTGGCAGGAGGTGCGGGCAGGCTGGGGTGCGGCCCTTCACGGACCTGGCCCTGGGGGCGGCCAGGGGAGCCAGGACGGCAGGTGTGGGGGGACCTCGGGGCACAAGCCCTTGGACTCCATGCCAAGGACGGGAGGAGGGAGCGGCTGGCGGACGTGAGCGGGGGGCGGGAGAGGTCTGGCTCTCGGGACCCCAGGGAGGCCGCGGAGGACGGAGGCCTGGGCGCCGCGCCCGGCCGTGAAGCGAAGCAGCCCGGCCCCCCGAGGGCCAGCTGTGTGCCAGGGCTGCGCCCCCTGTCCCGCCCTGTCCCAGAGAATGAAAGGCGGGGTTCTGAATGCTCCCCGTGTCCTGCGTCCCCACAGGCTGAAGGCGCTGGCGGCC